CTGTGATGTACTGAATTATTTAATGTGTCTTCTAGCCACACTGTTGCTAAGTGCTGTTGAGTCAGTTCTGACTCAGCTACCCTACAAAGGGTTTCCAAGGAGCAGCTGGTAGGTTTGAACTGCCAACCTTGAGTTTGCATCCAGTGCTGATTCTATAGCGCCACACCAGGAGCTTTTGTAAACTCCCACACCAAATGACTTATTCCTGATAAGTCTGGGTAAGAGAAGGTGGAGGAAGTTGCTGGAGGATATATGATTCACTGTGAGTGACTGCTAACAGGACTGTGATTTTAAACACTTGGAAATGGAATGAGAGGATTAATTAATGTTACCAACCTGCTGGGCTTAAAATGAGCCATTTCAGAAGCAGGATGGGGGAATCTCACTATCATCCAAGGATAACCTTTTGACCCTGAGATCTCTGCTCACTGAACCTCCTCAATTCAGGGAAAGAAAGCTGTGACACTGGAGGAATAGCAGAGGAGTGGCAGAGGAGCAGCAACAACGGGAAAAAAAACAGAGCATGATACAGAGCTGTGGGCTTCCCAGCCCATGGACCAAGTAAAGGTGAGTGACTTCGGGCAGGAGGCTTGCTTGCTGAGTAGGGTCCCTCCAGACACGTAATTGGGGGAGCTAGGCTTGCTGACCCATGGAGCTACAGAGGAGAGCCTTCAGGCTAAGGTTTATGATGGAATGGTGTGTCCTGTGGACATTAATCATCAGCCCTAAAAGAGCTTTGTTCACATTACCTGAGCAGAGAGGGACCTGCCTATGGGTGCACTTTCTGGTCTTGGCTCATAACCTGTTAACTTCCTTAAGAAACCTCGCAACTGTCATTATGGTGCCTGGGTTCTGTATGGCTATTGCAATGAATTATTGAAAGTAGTTGGGTAAAGAGTACTGTGGAGAGAAACGGCTGGTGCCACATTTTTTGCATAATAGAAAAAATTTCCAACATAATTCAACAGATCAATATTCTTTAAGAATTAATCTAATTGAAAATCATCTTTAAACTGTTAATATTTGGCCAAGACATGATATAGGAAAATCTTGTTGTTTATTAAGTGTTATCAAGTCAGTCCTGGCCCATAGAGACCCTGTATAGGGTTTCTACTGAGCAGCTTGTGGGTTTGAACTACCAACCTAGCAGGTTCAAACTGGCCTTGCAGTCTAGCGCAGTAGGTGAGGAAAAGTTCTGTGTCTTAGCACCTCTATTTCACCAACTTCAGAAACATACCAAGAGCACTAGAACATGGCAATGTCTTTTTACGAAGAAAAAAGATACCCAATTACCAAGTGGTGGCGATTATATGCCGTGGAATCAGTCCCCACTCATAGCGACCCTGTGTAGGGTTTCCGAGGCTGCAAATCTTTACAAGAGCAGAAAGCCTCATCTTTCTCCTGCAGAACCACTGGTAAGTTTCGAACCACTGACCTTGAGGTTAGCAGCCCAACTTGTAACCACTACACTGCCAGAGCTCCTTATTTACTAAGTTTTACTGTTGTTGTTAAGTGCCGTCCAGTCGGTTCCGAACCATAGCAACCCTGTATAGGGTTTCCTAGGAATGGCTGGTGAGCTTGAACCATTATCCTTGCAGTTCAAACTCACTTTGCAGTCCAGCACATTAACCCACAGTGTCACACCAGGACTCCTATTTACTAAGTAGTAAGGTCAGTATGTGTCGCTCCCTCACTGCTGATTATTACAAACATCTATCTATTACTTTGACTTTCAAACAGCAAAAATGATCCTTTCTCAGGTTTAATTAAGTAATGATGGTTCTCTCTGTTCCATGTCTGTTCTCACTGAAATGTATGAAGGTGGTATTCACTGTTCACATTGTCTAACTGCCTATACTTCGACACTCAGTGTGAGGGGAGGGGTTATTTTTGTTGTTATTAAGTGCCGTCAAGTCTATTCCGACCCATAGCGACCCGGTATAGGGTTTCCAAGGAGCAGGTGGTGAGCTTCAACTGCCAAACTTGCAGTTCAAACAGCTTTGCAGTAGCCCACAGCGGCACACCAGGACTCCAAAATGTTGTTGTTATGCGCCGTGGAGTTCCGACTCTTAGCGACCCTGTACAGGGTTTCTGAGGCTGTAAATCTTTATGGGAACAGAAAGCCTCATCTTTCTCCCCCAGAACAGCTGGTAGTTATGAACTGCTGACCTTACTGTTCGCAGCCTGATTCGTAACCACTACCCTACCAGAGGGGAAGTAACAGCTATTAAAACTTCTAAAAGGTCCCCAGCACCAAAAATTTCCCCTCTCAGACATCACTGAAAAGGATACAGAAACAGGAGGTTTAAAAGATTTTATAAATGCCTAGTTGTTAACACTTTAAAACCAACTATTGGAATTTGAAGGCAGTAGGAAACAGATAAAGGATTACAAGGGGTTTTCCAAAAAGTCACTTACCCTTAAATCCTCACATATTTTCCCATTTTCATTGCCAAAATTCAAGATTTACCCTATCGAATCCACAACCTTCTTTACACAACTGGATATAACAATCAAAACTAAAGCATTCTATATATCTATTATCCTCAGTTTAGCAGAACAGGACAATCATTAGCTAGAATGAGAAAATTCCCAATTTTCAACATCAGTTTTATTCTAACAGACACTTCTGACCCATTCTACCAGGAGAGTAGCCAATTCTTCCTATACAGGAAGGGCTGCAAGATGTCAAAGAATAACAACAACAACAATAAACAACCTCATTTACTGAACTTATTTTATGAAAGATATAATTCTAAGCATTTTATGTGTATTTTTTCATTTTTATCTTCAGTGCACTCCTACGAGCACTCCTATGTTAAGCCCTTTAGCTCCAAGTAATTTACAATTTACAAATATCCCACGTGCTACAGAGTGAAATGCTTCCTAAGGTTTTCTTGTCTGTAATTTTTTACAGAAGCATATTTCCAGACCATTCTTCCATGGTGCTGCTGGGTGGGTTTGAACTGCCAAACTTTTGGTTAGTAGTCCAACACAAACCATTTGCACTACCCAAGGGCCTTCCTTATGAGAGTACTACAATCATTCACTTCCTTTTACAGATCAATGCTCTAATGCCCAAAGAGGCGAAGTAACTTGTCAAAAGTCACACCATGCAGCTGGCATTTCAATCCAGGCAGTCAGCAACAGAGCTTTTATACCAAATGTTCTCTCACCAAGGATTGCTTGAGGACACCACTCATATGTGTGTGTGTGTACACTGTATAAAAAATATACACATACACACACTCCAGTGCACTGTTGTCATTGTTAAGTGCCGTCGAGTCGGTTCTGACCCACAGCAACTCTGTATAGGGTTTCCAAGGACCAAATTTTATAGATAGACTGAGAAACACTTTCGGGATCATCTTTCATACCCTCCTGTCCTGGGCATCATATATTATAATTCAGCCTTTTAAATCCCTTAAAAATGTTAACAACAACAAAAAGACAGTTAAATTCTCTATAAGACAATCTCTGGATCCTGTAGTTAAGAAGGAAAGAATTAAGATTTGTGATAACCAAACCAAATTCAAAACACTGATTGTCGTTGTTGTTAAGTGCCATCGAGTCAATTCCGACACATACCGACCCTGTATAGGGTTTCCGAGAAGAAGCTGGTGAGCTTGAACCACCGACTTTGCAGTTCAATTGGCTTTGCAGTTTGACACATTAACCCACAGTGCCACACAAGGACTCCCAAACACTGATTGGTCACCATTAAACCAACCTCTTGTTTCTATTTTATTTTTCACTTAAAAAGAACCTGGAAATTTCAGGGGGGAAAAAAATAATAAATAGTTCTTTAGTAATATGCTAGCACTGAAGCTAAGATTTTGACTGAAAAAAATCAAAGGGCTTTTTCAGCTTCCAAGTTCATAAAGATCATCAATTTCATCTTTAATATTAAAGAGAAATTTAAATGGGAAAAAGAAGAACAAAACAGGCATTTAGAAATCACTATGTTCACAAGTTATTGTACATTGGGGTTGGTGGAAAGAGATATTCTTAATAACACCTTGTAGCTAAATCATATTATTTAATAATAAGCAGAAATTGGCGTAACATATTTCATAAAGATAATGTTCTACATCCTAGTTTGTTAAGTATTGTCTGGGTTCTTAAAAGCTTGTGAGTAGCCATCTAAATCTAAGATACAATGACTGGTCTCTTCCCATTTGGTGCAAAGAAGGAAACTAATAATTCAAGGAAGGTGATAGCCCACAGGACTAATGGCTCACATGAATCACAGCCCCCTCTAACCTGAGACCAGAAATAGACCACTACCAACCTCTCTGAGCAGAGTCACAATAACATTCCTGGTTAAAGGGGGAGAAAAATGCAAAACAAAACTCAAATTCATAAAAAAGATGAGATTTATTGGGCTGATAAAGACTGGAGGAACCTTCCCCAGCACTGTCTGAAGATTCTCTTTTAAGCTGAAATTGAAGTCACTTCTGGAGTCAGGCAGGCTCAGCTCCAGATCTACAGAACCCACAGAGCCAACAAACCAGCATTCAACCAGTCACCCTGCCGCCTCCCCCCCACACACACACACACCTGCCCTGTGGTCCTAACAGACACAGAAACCAGCTCCATCAAGGGCGTCCAAGAACTACTTCAGGGCTGAGTGCTCTAAATTGAGGCCAACTGACAAATATTGCATGACACCACTGTTGTAAAAAGTCAAGAAAATATTTTCTTACTAAATGAAACAGACTATAATGGTTACAGGGTGGAGGGGGGAGTAGGGAACAGGTAAAAAATATAAAGCGAATAGAGGTAAATACTGTTAACTGATGGTACATGGAGTAGACTGCAATCATTATAATGACATGAAGCATATGATTTGTTGAATGTGGGACTAATGATCTGTTCTGTAAAAACGTAACTCAATTTACAAGAAAAAGTTTTTAAAAGTACAACATTAAAAAGGCATTTGAAAATATGGAATAAGAAAAGTATTGTTATAAAAGTACAACAATGCGACACAAACTTACCAATTCAATGCCCTGTGGAAAAGGTGTATCATCCCAGTCCTTCTGTGGAAATCTCTGGATTATTTTCCCCAGACCTTCTCCTGATCCTGTTAATAAAATCCAAGGGAATTAGTTACAGTGGAATAAAAAGTCTGAATACTTATTTTATTAGTACTTATTTCTAATTGAGTATTTGTTGAATTAACTGACATATCATTTTTAAGTTTAAAAGAGTATAAAGTTTAAACTCATTTCAAGTTTAAGAGTCTTGACCTTATAAGCACAATACTGAAATGACAGACAATCTCTATCCTACAGATGCTCAAAACAAAGGTGATACATATGAAAGCAAGGAAAATAGCTAAGAGGCAATGACACCTAGAGTCTCAACCATACCAAGGGAGTATGTTCTTTGTTTCCCAATAAGTTATCTTCTCAGTATCCTAAACGCAAACTTAAGAACAGCTTTTCTATGGAAACAAAATCATTTAAGCAACTGAAATGGTACTGTTAGCACTAAACTTCTTACAGATTACGTTTTTCAGACTTTTCTAGAAATGGGAACTTGATCATTGTCTAGGCAAGATTTTGCAACATTAGAAATATTGACATTTTAGGTTCAGCAATAATTTTTTTGTTGACAGCTGTCCTGTGCTTTGTAGGATATTTAGCAGCAATTCCAGCTTCATCCCACTAGATGCTAGTAGCAGCCCTCTCTGTAAGATGTAACAACTAAAAATGTCTCCAGAAAGTGCCAAATGTCTCAATGCCCCCATTTGAGACTTCTGGTCTACAGTACTATTACTATATATAAACTATCCTGTGACACGAAAGTATGGATCAACTTGCAATTCAACTCTGGTGATATAATACGTAAGTAACCCAGCGACAGAAAGTCCATGTCAGACAGTTAGACTGCATTTTGTTATACTCTTTAAAGAGCTTCCTTCATAGGGTGTCATACTCTATGTACTATCCTAGCTCACCCTGAAATGAAAGCAACAATGTTTCTCTTTTCGGATCCTGTGTCTGTCACTGTATTTCTAGGCCTCCCTTCTTGCTTTATTTTGTTAGCATTTGCACATCATAAAACACAGCCATTTCAAAATGGACTGTTTGATGGCGTTTACAAACTCTCACAGAAAATAATTTCAGTAAAGAAATTTTAACTGAAAATGAAAATCACTCAATTTAGTTATTTATTTTTTAATGTTCAAGGAGTTTCCTCCGGAAAACATTTTCCAAACAACATCATAGATATTGGCATAATTTATTTTCTCCAAGTAGAGTCAAAACTTCCATACAATCAAAAAAAAAGAAAAAAGTCTTAGTAAAACATGTTATATATACTTCATTGACAATGGCAATTCTATCCCAAAACAATCTGCTTGGAATGTTAACAGTGTGCCTACCACCTGTTCTTCCCTCCTTCACCTCAGAAGAACATTTCCTCAAAGGAAATGGCTGAAGCAAAAATACAGTGCTTGGCCATCAGAACTTCTGGCCTATCTAGTGAATATGAAGGGCTTCAAAAAGTTTATTATCTTTTATTTCTGTTTTTTCCATGAAGTTTTTAGAGCCCCTTCATATAACTGAAGTATTTGTTTTAGTAGGGTAGAGGCTGATCAGTAGAAATTTGATTTTACCTGCTAGCAGGTACAATTTAAATGAAGCCATATTCATCTACCAGGTCTCAAGTTTCCCATCATTGATTTATAATTTTTTAAATCATATGTTAAAAAAGGTTTTATCTTTTACCCAAAAACTAATATTACAATTACCAAACTAAAACCATCAATCAGAATATAAAAGTTCACCAAAATAAGGAGATCTAATTATCCCAGTATAGACCAACTTTCAAAGAATGAGGAAAATAAAAGTTGTTCATTCAATGAAAAGAAAGCATGCAGGAAATCAATTTACAAAAGGCTTTCATATTTGATCCATTTAGAAGTTAATGAAAGAAGTCTGTTTATTCCGGCTAAACTAGCCTTTTTGTGGTTATTCAACAATTTAGGTAGGAATGCAATGTGATTTTCTGATTTTCCAGTAAAATTTCTTATTATTCAAAAGGTTTATTTGGAACACACAAATTTTTTTTCCATAGTTAACCTTAACCAAGAGCTCACAGAATTTTATAGAAATGAAAAAGAATGTATTCTAAAAGTGACCAGAATACATGAAGAACAAGGTAAATTATATTACTAGACATAATAAATTAGAGATTTAAACAGATAATTGAACAAGTTAAAAGGTAAAAACAACCCATGTGTCCATCAACAGATGAATGGATTAACAATATGTAGTTAATACCTACAATGGAATATTATTCATATATTAAACTACTGAATACAAGCTACAGCATGGATGAATTGTGAAAACATTATGCTAAGTGTTAAATAAGCCAGTTACAAAATAAATAAATATTGAGTGATCCTGTTGCAATAGAGTGGTATGCTTAACCATTTGCTCAACCAGGGCTCCTTGAAACATGTTATCCCTCTCATATATGAGGGAGCTTCAAAAGTTCATGGAAAAGTGGAATTGAAAATAATGGAATTTTTCCATAAGCTTTTTGAAGCCCCCTGGTGTAACTGACAAATTATGCCTGGTAATTCTATAGTGCCTAAATGTTGTAAAATAAATAATGTTCTTCCAAAATATGTGTTGGTGATAATAAAAATTTTTAAAAAGTAACTATTTTGAATTCCAGTTCATGAATAGGAGATACTACATATATTTATTCTTATTTCCAAAATTTATTGGAAACTTAACAGGAAGGGTACTTGGAAAGCATGTAAAAGTTGTTATACTTCCAAAGCGAGCCCAGAGATACAATAATTAATACATAATTCTCTCACTGTTAACAATAGCTAAAATCACCTCCCACAGACAACTAGTATGCCATCTCAAAGGTAAATATGATTTCCATTTCCTTACCTATGTCATCCAATGATTGTTTCATTTCTCAATAATAACGATAAATACAAATAACACAAAATACTAATATGTCCCCTTAGCTGATAGCTTTAAACAATTTTTTAAAATATGTGTATGTGTGTGTGTTTGTGGGTATATATACTGTTGTTGTTGTTAAGTACCATGGAGTCGGTTGCAACTCATAGCGACCCTGTACAGGGTTTTTGAGGCTGTAAATCTTTACTGGAGCAGAAAGCCTCATCTTTCTCCCGCAGAACAGCGGTAGTTTCGAACTGCCTACCTTGAGTTTAGTAGCCCGATTCGTAACCACTACGCTACCAGAGCTCCTTGTGTGTGTGTGTGTGTGTATAATATGTGTGTGTATGTGTGCGTATATGTATGTATACATACATATGTTGCTGTTGTTGTTCAGTGCTGTAGAGTCTTTCTTACTCATAGCAACTCTATACAGAGTGTCCAATGAGTGGCTGGTGGGTTTGAACTGCCAACCTTGCAGTAAGCAATTCAGTGCTTGTCCTACAGCACCACACCAGGAATGAATATATGTATATATTTTACACACAAACACACACACTACTGTATCATGTTTTGATAGAAAGTACAACCTACAGAACATAGGACCCTAGGACCAATGCTCTTTTCATTTATACGTATATTGTTGTTGTTGTTGTTATTGTTGCTGTTAAGTGCTGTGGAGTAGGTTCTGACTCATAGTGACCCTACACAGGGTTTCTGAGGCTGTAAATCTTTACGGGAGCAGAACACCTCATCTTTCTCCCACAGAACCGCTGGTAGTTTCGAACTGCAGACCTTGAGGTTAGCAGCCTGATTCGTAACCACTGTATATGTACATATACATATATGTTGCTGTTAAGTGCTATCGAATCTTTCCAACTCATAGCAACCCTATACAGAGTGTCCAAGGAATAGCTAATGGGTTTGAACTGCCAAGCTTGCAGTTAGCAATCCAGTGCTTATCCTACACCACCACACCAAGAATTAATATATACAGACACACACATTCAAACTACTGTATCATGTTTTGATAAAAGTACTTCCTACAGAACAGAGGACCCTAGGGCCATCAAGAGGGAAGACCATGAGTGGAATGTGGGATCCTAACCATGCAAGTAGTGACAGCAGAGAAGGAGGCAGAGGAGATGGCACAGACAGAGAGCAGCTGAGGACTCTAGGCCCATGGAATGAGAAAAGCTGTATGCCTGTGGGCAGGAGGCTGGCTTGCAAAATGTGTTCTTTGGACATTTAAATAAATATACATTTTCTGGGTGTTTTATGTACATCAAAACAAAACAAAATAAAAGGGAACACAGGTAAATACTGTTAACATAAGGTACATGGAGGGGATTGCAATCATTGCAATGAAACAAAAGATGATTTGCTGAGTGTAAAACTAATGATTTGCCCTGTAAACGATCACTCAATTCACAATAAAAGTTTTTAAAAGTAGTACTACCTATATTGGGAATCAGGAGATCTGAGCCTTGTCTTCACTCTATCAATATAATTGTCCAATTATCTAAGCCTCAGTCTCCTACATATAATGTGGATCTTGGGTCATTTCTAGTTCTAAAATTCTACTTATGGTAAATAAACCAAATGTGACATACATATAATTTACCACTAGATGGCTAAACGCTACAGTTGCCGACTAAAACAAATGTTGACTAAAATCTTTACCTTGCAAAGAAAGAGATGCCAATTTAAACTAAGCCTTGATGACTTGTCTGGTAGCAAAAAAATTCCAGACTACTGCCTAAACACCTTTATTTTGTATGATGCAGAATAACAGACTTTTTTCTGGACTTTTAAAAGTTATCTTACACCTAATTAAGACTCACAAAGGCATGCTTAAAGTATAGTATTGAGAAATCAATAACCTTAGAAATGAAGTTAAGGAAATGCGGTGAGCAAGTACATAGAATCAAGGGAAAGGAGGAGGAAGGAAGAAGAGAAAATGGAATTTGGTTTGTTTTTTTCCTTTAGTGGGAGGGAGCAAGTGAATTTTCTACAGTATCTGTGCCTTCCAAAATATTTATAAGAATGTAAAAGTAGAGGACTTTCGGCAAGATGGCAGACTATACAGATATCAGAGACAAAATAAGAGACACATATGAAAATTCTGGCACCCTGAACTTCAGAAGAAAGG